AATGTCCTCTTCCAAGACTATCCCAAGCTGAGAGAACAGACCTGCCACCTTATATCTTCCAAACCTGTTAAAACAAAAGAAGTAATTTTACGATTAGTGTCATCAGGTAACCAAGGGTCTTCCCAGACCCGAATAGATTTGTCACTTTCCACACGCCACAGATACCCCTCTCTAATTATATCCTGGGCTTCAAACATGAGGTTCCATTAAGAAACTTTTCGTGTACATGTTGAAGTAAAAAAACGATTAAACCTCTATATAGAAAAGTCAAAAAGAGAAAAATTATTATGAAATAAAAGTAAGTATGACCAGCAAGCTAGAAAAGCATTTTAAATTTTAATGAAGTTGAAAGAAACTTTAAAAAATGGACACGACCCTTAACCATTTTGCATTGTTACCCATTTATTTATCATTTTTATATGCAATCACTTGAGAATAAGTTCACCCTGTCACCATCATGTAGTGAAACTGTTGTAATCCCTCTTCATAACTCAGATACGGCCAGATATGTCTGCCCACCAAAACCATCCTCTCCAGACACTTTAACATTCATTCATAACAATATGAAGAATAGCCAATTCTGGAATAGTTAATGGAAAATCAAATTCCTCATTCGAAACAGGTCTCCAATTGCCATCCACTTTTTTCTTCTTCACTTCGCAACATGTGATTGTATAACATTTCCATCCCCTATTATTCATCTCAAGAAACACTCTAATTATCAGGATATAACCAAATGCTTATTGTTTTAAGGGAATTTTAAAAATATGACCAAGTTTATCATGATACAAATATTTGGTTAACTGCAGGACATCATCTCCAGTAGAATTAGGATAAATGTCCAATTCAAAAACTTTAATTCCTCGGTCAAGGCATATATAATGAGACGGAGGGGAAATCATGTCATGGTGAATCTGTAAACCAAATAAAATCACTAAAAACAAATTACTCTCTTAAGAAGTGAATAAGAAACATGCAGTTAAAATAAGCAGGACTAAAATAATGGTTTGCATAATTACAAACCACAACCATTGCAAGAAGGCAAATGAAACTGACCTCTACTTTTCTATTTTCTTGCTGACTTCTATAGTAAAACATATCAATATACACAGTTACACACTAAAACATATCAATATACGAATGCACCAACTATTATCTGATTCCACAAACACTATTAGATTGAAAGACATGGCTCTACTCTTACTTTTTATTTTGAGTCAAATGTTATATGATACTGTTAATACTATTATGTTGAAAAATAACCCTCTATAAGACACACAAAAACAGCTTTCTTTTAAAAAATTGATCATGTTTATCCCAAGTTGATTGAATATAAAAATTACAAGCTTGGTGATGATAATCTAAACTTTTGTCTAGAATATGGTGGCTGGGAAATCCATCTAATATGATCACCCAGATAAACAAACCTAAATTAGGAAGCTACACAATAAACTCATATTCACTTCACAAATAAGATAGCACACAAATAAAGAACAAAAACAAATTAAAATAACATTTTTAAGATTAACATTTCCATACATCTTTATTGCTGAACTTTGAAGAACTCCACTATTGTAACTTAAGGAAATTAGGTGTTTCCTTATAATAAAATAGATTATTATTTTTTATAGTTAAGTATCTATTTCAAAATAAACACTCTTGAAGAGAAATCGGGAGTTTTCTTGTAGAGTAGTTAAAAACGCATTAACTATCAAAAAATTGATTTGCAAATAAATTAGAGCATCATGTGAAGGAAAACAATCTAATCAGTTTGATGAATTATGATCTCGTGATGAATGAAGCAAAAACATGTCACTGCCACATTCACTTCATATATCACAGAAAAATGCCGCACAAAAAATATGCAACCTGCTCCCAACCTTACACAAAAACAATTTTTTTTTCAAACCAATTTATCAAACAGAAAAATGCATGGAAAGAAAAGCATACACACGTCATTTAGATAAATATCATTAAGTTATATCAACATTTGGCAAAACTATATTATACAAAAAAGTGAACTATACACAACAATATGGGTATAGACACAAACAGGGAGATAGGTACATAGTTCAAAAAAGACTTTTTGGTTTCTAATGAACCATGCTCAAGAAACGATGTAAAGGTTAATGTGAAATAATTGTATACAGTGAAAAGATTTTCAGAAAATGGTGAGCAACTTGATATTTAAAACTGTGTTGAATTGTAGAGTTATCGCATCACCCAGACTTCATAAAAGAAAAATATATTTAATTCATATAAGAGGATTGAAACTGAGAGGGAGATATGATAACTGAGTATACATGCAAACTCACTGACATCTATTCATTCTTATTATGCTTCGTTAAACCAAACTATATAGGATAAATAGATCTCATTAAGTTAAACTTCAGGCACTCAATCATTTTAAGTTGTAAAAAATGCATTCGTTGCCATATTTTTGAAATCAAAGAAAAAGAAGTGGCACATTCCTAAGCATTTAAATAATAGAACACCCAACAGACTACAGAGTACAGAGTAATCAATCCAAACGACAACTAACTAAACAAAAGATAGATAAAAAGGAATCGGGAATTAAGTTTTTGAAACAATTTAAATAATAGGACACCCAATAGACTACAGAGTAATCAATCCAAAGGACAACTAACTAAACAAAATATATCAAAGCAATCTTTCATACGTAAACCAAAGGGCATACCTTGGAGCTAAAGATGACTACATTAAGTGCTAATTAAAAAAAGATGTCCTTGTTTGGATGTATAACTTATTTCAAATTTTCCTTAATGATATTGATATTATAAAGATATCCCACTTCTTTATCTAGATCTTTAAAAATACTTTTAAGAATAATTTAACAATACTATTCTGCTTCATTCATATTAAGACGAGAATTTGGATATTTTGTATGGTTTAGCTACTCTGGAGGTGTTAAGAATACAACTTTGTTCAGCTTTGACTAATTTATTGAAATGATGAAAGATGTGACTTCAAATATCAAGGTTGTATACAGAAGCTAATTAATTTTTGTAGTTGTGCACCTTTTATTTGGTTTTTATAATCAAACTTTGAAATTCAACAAAAACGAATGAATAAAAAATCACACCTATCTAATAGGCTTCTTTCTTTCTTGAGAAAGTAAACATTTACCTTGTGCATCCTAAAGTTGTTAGGATCCATTTAGAGAAGTCATTGCTTGAATGCCTTTGAGAGCCATGGGAATTGAGAAACCACACGATAACTCTATTTTTTTTTTAAATAATAACTCAAGAATCAACTAAATCACATAGATGCGGTCTCCGCTGAAAAATACGATAGTATAAGTTTAGAAAAAACAAAACAGTTAGATACCCTATTCTGAATAAGAATTTCTTCCTCAATTATATATGTAGTGAAACTACATATGTGTGGTTATATGTGGCTAAGCCTATATTTTGTAGTATAGGTACTCTTGGTATTTTAATTTGCATATGCCATGTTTGAAAAAAGCATAGGGGTGACCTTTTTTTAATATAGAGTTAACCCAGGTTTTAGTTTGTAGATGAAAAGTCTGAAATTCTTATATTTACAAACTCCGCCTCATTCTCCAGGTTGATATCTCATACCCAAGGAGCTCCAAATTTTCTTTTAATGCCTTCAGAAAGTACACATATAATAATACTGAAAGTGAAACACTCAAGTGATCTGGCTTGGAGCCATATCATCCAACTGCATATTCACATTCTTTAAAATGACTTTGAAAGGAGCATTTGCAGTCATTGGAGAATTGATAGATTCGATATACACTTTCATCTAAATATTGGGTTATAGATGAAATCCAGGGGGGATTTAGAAAATGATATGACATGTGAAATATATAAATAAAAAGAGTTAGATTTGAGATAGAAAACTAACCAATAATGCAATAAATCGTTGATGATGGACTCTCCAATCCAGGCAGGTGATTGATGATGGACTCTCCAATCCAGACAATTGACTGAGAGTCGTGATCGAGCAAGTGAGAATCACAGAGCATAATCACAAAGTCGAAAAATTAATAATCCCATCTGTTTGAGTTAGAAGAAAGGAGATTGAGAGCCATTGAGAGAGCTGTAATCGAAAGAGAGAAAGAGAAATTGAGAGAGCTATAGACATAGTCTCTCCATCTACACAACTAAATCATCTTGTTTGAACCAACTCACCAAGTGAAAGATTCAACCTACTGAAGACTTTCCATTTTGCTTATATATACATACTAGGGTGGACCCGGTCCGACAGCCCGGTCCGCTCCGAAACTAGGTCCGGCACAGTTTGGGACCAAACTAGATCACTGGATCCAGAAAATCTGGTTTGAGCCCGGGACCACCCAGACTCCCAGAGTTCGCTCAAGCATGTTACCCGGTTCCGGTTCACCCATTTGGGGACCGAACCGAGCATTTTTTGCTTGGAAACGAGGAACATGAAAGAAAAAAACAAAAGAATGGAACCGGGCCCGGACCACCCAGTTATCCGGAACCGGCCCAGACCCGGGTTTAACGGATCGGACCCGAGCTTCGCCTACCAATGATTGTGACCAGTGAGTCTAGGACCGGGTCCACCCCTAATATTATGCCAGTTGAGCTTCAAATGCACAGATTCGAATTTTCGCATTTACAAGGTTTAGAGTCATTTTGATTCTATAAGAGAATTGTTTGTGAGGCACTTCTTCATATTCTGATCACGGATCACCCAAACAAACTCGTATAATATCATCATACCTAAATTGTTGTTATGCACCAGTATCATATTTTGATAAAGTTTGATGAATACTTCATAGTTTGGTAAGGCATTGAATTTCTTAGTTGGTAACTTGGTATATTTGTTGACTTAATAACTGCAAGTCTGTTAAATCAAAATGTATTTGTTCATTAACGGAAACGCAGGCAAACACAATGGTCCATGGCTTTTGTTCTTGAAGAACTTTTAAAGTTGGACAAATAAACATGAATGCAATTGTTCGAATATGAGTACACCACTACTTGAAAAAAGGACAAAAAATATGGTAAATTAATGTTTCATATAAAAAAACTACAGAAAGAATTAAGCTGGTTTCATATTTATATTGGGAGGGTAAATATCACAATTCACAAACATGAGATAGTAGAAGCAGCAGCAACAAAGTTTAGCAAGACAACAAATAGAATTTGGAACTGGTGCTACATTAATAGGAGGATATTATCTTAATCGTCATTTGGTTATAGACACACTCTAATAACTTCCTCTGCCGCCGCATGAGCTGAGTAACAGCATTTCGAATGGAACTCTTCTTCTTGACGTGAGTTGAAGACGTCGACAGCTCATTTTGATGAAAAAAGAGAGAATGGGGCCCGTTCCACAGACTTTTCTGGTGGAATTTGTACATTCCGAGAGAGAAGTCCTTGATGGCATTTTGAAATTACCTTGGCTTTCTGCTCCTGTTCAGTCTCACCACCGATCTGCAATGTTTCTTTATCACTGTGATTCAGTGTATGATTGCCACACTCTAAAGCTTGCTTTTGATGTATAGGATGGTCTTCATCTACAGATCTTCTAGAAGGACCACCACCTAACTCCATGAGTGCAGAAATTTGACCCTCCTTTTTTCCTAGAGTTCCTCTTTCACCGTTAGGCTTTTCCTCTTGATCACCAGGTAGATGCTTATATGGATGATCTTCACTAGCACTTGCTGCCGCTAGCTTTGAATCCTCTCCTACTTTCTCTTGCTGACTGGAGTCCATGTCTACTTCGGGGGGGGGGGGGGGGGGGGGGGGGGGGCTTTCAATATTCGGTGATGCACACTCACCACCCACATATCCTGCAGGGGTAGTTTCCTTCATAAAAAGGAAAAAACAATTAAACTAGCATTAAATTAAAGAATATTAAAATACAAGTTGTGGATAAAGACCCATAGGCCATACTATTGCAAAGGGCTGTTTACTTTTTCCATTTGGATGAAGATGATTATCTGGAATAAGTTATCTTTCAGTAAGGGTGTTTTTAATTGGACTGAAATTTTCTGGTGTGACATGTAGTCTAGTCTAGTCCATTGAAGTCTAGTAGGTCTAATCTGGGACTGAAACTAGTCCAAGTAAAAACATCCTAAGAGGCATGTTATTGTGTCTGATGAACAAACCGTTTAAATTGGGTAAATAACCAATTTAAGAGTATTCTTGAGTTATGAATGACTAATGATACTTACTAACCAAATTCTACTCCAGGGTTTGAAAAACTGTCTGCATAGACACCACAGCAGAAGTTTTCGTGTGAATGAATCATTTACTAGAGCGTAATGATTAAGTCAATTTTAGCTAACTAAGTAAGACATGTTTCTAATTAGGTCATCGTCCAACCATTTTCAAAAGTAAATGGCAAACAAGTGAATGATTTTGTTCAGAGCAATAAAAGAGGAGACAACTAAAGATTATAGTTTTCTGTTTTTGTCACCAAAGTACGATAAGTAAATTCTAGATAGCTTAAAAGTCAAAACTTGTAAAAACAGTACATACATTAAATACATATATCTCATTATATGATTTTTGGGGAAAAACAGAAGACATCTACCTCAGGCTTAACCACCTCATCTGGACAGTCATGATAGAGAGCGGGAAGAGCATAGGGCGGGACCGGGCTTGGGCCCACTTCCGTGGGCCGGGTTAGGGCTGTCATTAGAGTTTATTTATTATTAATCAAGTTAATGTTATGTTTTACTTTGGGCCTATTATTAGTAGAGTACTTAGTAGAGTTATTATTTGGGCTTGATTAGGATTTAATTAATTTGGGCTTGATTAGGGTTTCTCTTAGAAGGCTATTTATACCCCTTGCCAGAGTTCATTCTATCTTATCTTGGAATAAAGTTGGATTTTAGCCTTTTGGTTCTGGGCAACGGTTTTTATCGTTGATTTTCTGTTACATAACAAGTCGCTACTAGCGGCTTCCATCTGTTCTTCTTCCACAGTTTTAGCAGCACTCTCCTCGCGTTCTTGCCTCCGGCGTATCATCACACATATAGCACATAGGCAGGAAGTCTTGTGCTTCTTGAGTCTGGAAAACAACCCATATTAAAATCAGGGGAATATTTGTCTGCAGTATCTCTTTAAATTAAGGCTAGAGCAGCAACCAATGGAAGTAGATGGCAAAATACTTATAGTACCTCCGTTCCCCTAAGATTGTGACAAGAGGGAGTGGTGCGATTATTAAGATAAGTGGAATTGTGTGGTTGGTAATGAATTGGTAAAGTGTGAATAGTGTAAGAATGATTCACAACCACCCAAATATTACCAAATATGGTACGGGACAATCTTAGTGGGACGGAAGAAAAAAGTAAAATGAGACAAAGATAGGGGGCAGAGAGAGTATATATAAAAACAATAACACACCCATGAAGCTTTCTTGACTTATTATTAGTCAAGGAGGAACCGCCTTTCACTGATTCCTTCCCACTGCTGTCAGGTGGTGTAGCATCCTTTATTTGACTGCTCTCAACACCTACATCGCAGCACCAGAATAAGACTTGCTACAAAAGTATTAAATGAGAGCCCAAATATAACTACATACTCTGTCCTCCAAAAAAAGGCATGCGTACAAAAAAATTCACAAAAAAGAGTTCATTTTGATCAAACAAAGATAAATTCTCATGCGATGTGGCCAAATATTGCCAAAAAGGATAATTAAGTAATAAACAAATTACATATGATATTTAATACTACCTCCATCCCCAAACATTGGTACAAGAGGAGGTGGTACGGTTACCAAGAACGATTTAGAACCACACACACATTACCAAATTGGTAGGGGACAATCTTAGTGGGACGGACCAAAAGGAAATATGAGACAATTTTAACGGGATGGAGGATGTATAAACCAATATATAATTTTAAAGTTCTAACTTCTAAGTTTGATTCATGATTTGTGAAAGTTGTACTTGTTAAAATTCAATGGTTGAAGATTGACCAAACACTCTCTTTTTTGGGCAAACAATCATGATTTCTTATTTTCAGGACACAGGTAAAATTTAAAAGAAATAAGGCAAATGACTAGGCATAGTTTACCCTGCGTGTAGTCATTGTATAATACAGGAGATGCAAGCCAATACTTTGAAAAGTTCTTTTTCACACATTTCATGAGATCCAAAACCAAATCGCCTTTATTATTGTACTTGTAGGATTTGTAGCAGTTATCCCATATGCATTGTACATCCTTATAAACGTCCTCCGAGTTTGAGTATTTCACGCCACTTTCAAGATTGCTACTTATAGTTCAAAATCCATCGGTGTATCTATGACCTCAAAATAGTCCTGCTCCCACAATAAACACAACAAGTATTGAGTACTGTGTATATATATATATGTATGTCTGTGTGTGTGCTAGTCACACACACTATCTCTCTCCACATATGTAGATGTATATACTATATATATATATATAAGAAAGATAGCATGAAAAAATCAACACATACAACGACTTCATTTGAAGGCATTAAAGCAAGGTACATGCTACTGCATATACAGGGGGGAATCGAAGATAATCATATCTATAGTTTGATCACATTGAGTATGCACTTGATAAGAGTATGAGTAAGAAGTACTGAAGTTTTAAAAAGCGAACACGGTGTATGCCCTTGAGGTGCGGAGGTGACTATGAAGCGTCTAAGAGGCTTAAGCCTTTATTTGTAAAATTGAGGCGTGTGCCTTGAAACATACAAGGAGATAAGGTGCGGAGCAGAAGGCAGTAGGGTGCAGAGGCTAACAGAAGCACAAGGCACCTTTATTCTATATTTAAAGTTAAACTCTTAGAAAGTCTGGTTTTTTATGGCTACTGGGGCTTGGACCTACTTTTATATTTATTTTCTCTACTAAATACTTAAACACACCTAATCCTTGTTCATGTGACCTATTTTCAACTACTAATGTTCCATCATCTTTCTATGACTGAGCAGTCTTCCAACAGGTCATCAGTCATCACCAATCTATCTTCAGTCATCAGTCATCACCAATAGTGATCCAATGGCCAACGGTAACCCCTAACAAGCTGGCGTGTAGCCTAAACTCGTCTCTAATCTCTATTTCTCTTCTTTGCACTTTTTCTGTTAGAACTAAGTAGATAGTTAGCTACTGGATATGAACTTTATGTTTGTGATCTGAAATCCATTGGGACGGATGGACAGTATATATAGTATTATGGTTTATGATTTTTTATCGCTGAATACACTCTGTATTATATTTCATGTTTTCAATCCTTTTTCCTTCTTTTATTTATTGCTTTATGTATGCAAGAGTGCGACTTGCTGGTGGGTCTGAAGAAGATAAGAGGCTGGTGATATGGGAAGGGAGTAAGGGATGAGAACGGGAATGATGTTACAAATTTGGATAATCATGAAATGGATGACAGGATTAGTTATGAGGATTAATATTTCCAATTTGCAAACTCAAATCCATAAGCCTTTTATGTTCTTTTGACTTGAATATTTATCCGTTTAAGTTTCATTGACTTCAGATTTTGTTTTTTAACAACTCTCTGTGATTTTATTATTTGAACTACTATTATGAATTATCTATCCTACCCTATTTATTTTTCCATAGTTTTTACATTTAAATTTGAGGCTTACACCTCGTTATGCTGCAAAGCTTACACCTCCTGAGGCAGTGGCCAACTGCCTCAGTGCATATCGGAGTGGAGGTGAGCTTGTCGCTTGCGGATATGGGCAGGCCTTGCTAGTCGCGAGGGCAGGTGGGTAGATGGCCAGGCCGTGTACAAAGGGTTGCTGGTCGTTCATGGAGAAGCGCACGGCCGGCAATTCCTAGGTCGGCGATTCCGTGATCGTGAGGGTAGCTTCGCTGGTCGGTGCTTTCAGTGGAATGTAAAGTCTGGTGGAAGGATTGAAAAGGTTAAAAGAGGAACGCCTGCGTCTGAATGCGAAGGAGTATATAGTGAAGGTGCTGAGCGACTAAGTTGTTATTTGTCTGAGCGATTAAGTCCTGCCGAAAAATAAGTCCTAACTAAACAGTCCTATATACCTGAGTCATTAAGTCTATAAAGCCCAAAGTAAACAGGGCCTAAGCCTGGGATGTTATCGTTTATGGAACATCTGGAACTGGTGGACTCTTCTAAAAAGAAAACGGGAATTTGAACCGTTGTTGTTACTAGCAAACTCCGCCATGATATCATTTTTTTGGTATCATGCATGTCCCAAGCCAGGATAAAGGAGGAGGGTGCTGTGGTAGGCGTGTGACGGCCAACAGTATCACTTAGTCACATCACATGACATGAATCGAAATATGAAAAGTTGTGATATCATGTATCGATTCATGTTAGCCGACCCCAATATCTTTTGGGACTAAGGCTTGGATGTTGTTGTTGTTGTTACTAGCAAACGAGACCACGGAACACTTACTTCTTTCTAGTGATGTTGCTTTATGAGTTTGGGATCACTCTAAAACGAACCATGTATAAAGAACAGAAAGCCCTTTCTTTCCAGTTTCATTTTTATCTGAACTCGTGGATTCAGAGCTCAAGTCCAATGCCTCGTATGTGTTTGCTTCTTTCTGTGGAATCCCAGAAATCATGCATAGGAGAAGGGGAAAGCTTTACCAAAACAGGGGCTTTATCCAGCGGCTGAGCCATATTGGGGTACATAAGTCATCTCTTTGTAGTACCAGATGACGACACATATTCCAGATCAGCCTTGAAGACTTGGTAATGAATCAAAGTTAAATATACAAGTTATCAACACGTGAAGAAAAACAAGCCATTAAACATTCTTAGACCTCTCAAAGTACCAAATCAGAAAAGCTTTGATCTAAGTAATGTGATACAATCAGGAAGACAATCAGTCTCTTCATTGGTGAGTTTGCAAGTACTCACCATAGGTGTTTTCACAACCTTAGAATCTGTCATCCCAACTTTGTGAAGAAGATCTCTGATGTATTTGGCCTGTGAAAGATGCAGACAACCATTAGGAAGCTTTCTGACTTGGATTCCTAAAAAGAAATCTATGTCTCCCAAGTGTTTGAGAGAAAAGGAAGAGTGTAGAGTTTGAATGATGTGTTGGATAAATGAGGAATTGTTTCCAATGACAAGGATGTCATCAACATAGATGAGGATGTAAATTTGGATCCCAGGCTTTAGGTATATAAGAAGAGAAGGATCACTCTTGCTCTGTTTGAACCCAGCATTGTATAAGACTGAAGTAAGCTATTGAAACCAAGCCCTTGGAGCTTGTTTAAGTTCATGCAAAGATTTATGTAGTCTGCAAACAAGGGATGTGTCCTTAGCTTGAAACCCAGGAGGTTGTGACATGTAAACCTCTTCCTCAAGGTCTCTATTGAGGAAGGCATTGTTGACATCAAGTTGCTGTATAGACCATTGGTGAGAGACAGCAAGAGTGAGCAGAATTCTGATGGTGACAGGCTTGACTACTGGAGAAAATGTCTCTCCAAAGTCAAATCCAAACCTTTGATAAAACCCTTTGGCTACCAACCTGGCTTTGAACTTATTTATAGAGCCATCCGGATTTTCCTTTACTCTGAATACCCATTTGCAACCAATAACCTGCTTTCCTGGAGGAAGAGAGACTACGGACCAAGTTTTGTTAGATATCAAAGCATTGTATTCAGATTGCATGGCTGCAAACCAAGATGGAGAAGAAAGAGCTTGCTTAACTGATTTGGGCTCTATATGAGCTAACAGTAAGGTTGGATTAAGTCTAGGTTTAACAATCCCAGATTTGGATCTGGTTTGCATTGGATGAGAGTTATGGGGAGGACTTGGAGATGTAGAAGAGGAGGAATCAGATGATGTGGAGTGAGAATTGACAGTTGTGTCAATGAGATGATTAGAAGCAGTTGAGTCATTTTGAGAGGGTGGTTGATGGTGATGGTGAGGACTAGGGTTTAGCTGAGGTGTAGTTGAAGGAGATGTGTGCAAGGAAGATGAACTGGAAGATGGGTTAGCATCATTGTTAGAGTGGAGGTGTGAAGAGAGGGAAGGAGGACAGATTGTTATTGGGGCTGAGAGTGAAACTGGAACACTAGTAGATAAAGTGGATGTGGAAGGAAAGAGAGTGGGATAAGGAAATTTGGTTTCATCAAAAATAACATCCCTGGAAAGATAGAGTTTGCCATAAGGAGAAAGACATTTGTATCCTTTATGATGCATCTCATCATAAAGGTCTAATGAAAGGATAACAAGAGCAACCAAAGGCTTTGAGAAAGTTATAGTCAGGGAGAGTGCCATAAAGTTTGAAATGAGGACTGAGATTGGCAATAGATTTGGATGGAAGTTTGTTGATAAGGTGTACTGCAGTGGCAAATGCAGTGTCCCAGAATTTAAATGGTAAAGAAGAATGAGCTAATAGACATAGACCTTTTTCAACAATTGTTCGATGTTTCCTCTCAACAACACCATTTTGATGGTGTGTATGAGGACAGATAACTCTATGATTGATGCCCTTGTCAGTGAGGAATTTGGTGAATGACCTGAATTCTCCTCCCCAATCACATTGTATGGACTTGATAGAAATGTTGAATTGATTTAGGATGTATTGATAGAAGTTTTGACAGGCAAAGAAAGCATCAGATTTCTTTTTGAGGAAATATATCCAAGTATACTTAGTGAAGGCATCAATAAAAGATACATAGTAACTGTAACCATCAAAAGACTGAATAGGAGCTGGTCCCCATAAGGAAGGTAATCTGTGAGCTTTACCAAGACAACAAGCAGAACAAAAGTTTATTGCACTTTTATTGAGATCACACAAATTACAAAGATTGAGTACAGACTTAAGAGCCTCAAAGTGAGGATGGCCTAGTCTATTACAATTTGACTTAAATGCCAAATATTACAATTTGTATCTGACTGAGAGTTATTACAATTTGTATCTGACTGAGAGTTATTACAAGTAGACATAAGAGAACTAGGATATATAGAACTATGTGGAGAGGACTTGGACAAGTTTGCAGTAGACTGGTGAGACCCAAGAGCTAGAAATGACTGGAACTTGTAAAGACCATCTTCACCAAGAATGCCATATAGCAGAATTTATTTACAAACCTGGGAGTTAACAAAGCATTCATGAGGATGAAATTCAAAAAATGCATTGTTATCCTTGGCAAATTGACTGACACTTGATAGGTTTTTAGTTATGGCAGGAACATGTAAGATGTTATTGAGAGATAAAGAAAGAGATGAGTGATAAGGAGAGGGAAAGGATGAAAAACCAATAGACTTAATTTCCAAACCTTGACCGTTGCCCATAAAAAGCTTATCAGTAGTAGCAATGGGCTCACTGTTGAAGGTTGAGAGGATCAGCAGCGACATGATGTGTGGCTCCAGAGTCTGGGAACCAGTTTTGAGTATTTGGAGCTGGTCCAAGTATAGAGGAATTTGCAGAAGCCCAGGCTGCAGTTGGCACAGTAGGTGATGAGTTGAATTGGGAAGGATGGTTAGGTGATGGAGTATAAGATGGATAAGCTGGTTGTACTGTACTGAATTGTGATGGATGAGTTGGGTTAGTTGAATATTTTGCTGTGACTGGAGGAGATGATTGGTATTGGTATTGATTTGGATATGGACTCGGTGCTGAAAAAGGAGTTCGTAAGGCTGGTTTGAGTAAGGATTTTGAGTCTGATGTATAGTAGAAGGATGAGGATTAGAGATGGTATAGGCTGGATTGTATCTGTGGTAACATACAATTGCACTGTGACCATTTTTGCCACAAACTTGACAAGTTACTGAGCTTCTACCACCTGAACGGCCACCTCTGCTCTGTTAAAACCTCCACGACCTCTACTTCTGTAGGAGGAATTTTCAGCAGAAGTGTCAAACTGAGCAATTTGAGCTGAAGCATTGTCGGAAGTATTCTGAGTTTCAGTTTCAGTGGTTTGAGAAGGAGTTTCTAGTCGAGCAACATTGGCAGAAAAAAGTGTTTGCTGTGAGGAGTCACGAAGTTTTCTGAGTCGTAATTCCTTAGCCAGCCAGAGACCTTCAAGTTCAGATATAGTAACAGGATCCAGAATGCTTCGCGAGGTGACAGATGATATGAGCGATTCGTAATCCTCAGGAAGTCCTTCAAGGATCACATTAATGTGATCCTTGGTTGATATAGGCTCACCGACAGACGTTAGGTTATCCACAATTGTCTGAATACGAAGTGAATATTCAGAAATAGAACGATCACCTTTTCCAGTATTATACAGTTCTGATTTCAGTTGCTGAGCTCGCGCGATGATGCTGGAACGGAAGAATTTCTGAATTTAACTCCATAATTCATGCGAGTGCTTGCAACTGATGACGCGAGCATGAAGTGACTCAGAGAGCGAAGCAAAGAGCCAGGAAAACAGCATTTGGTCTTGTTGCTCCCAGATGTTATACGCTTCGTTAACTGTTTTTGCTCCATTCTCGTCAGCTGTAAAGCGGTATCTGAGGTTTTCGAAGAATCTGAGAAGTTTATGAGCGTGAATCACTGATTCGACATGATGGCGCCAGAACAGGAAGTTATTTGAATCGAGTTTAACAGGTAGAGGATGATGAAAGATAATAGGAGAGGTTTGATTTGCAATATGAGAGGATGATTGCGAGGAAGAAGAATCAGATGTAGAGTTCGTCATGGTTAGATCGAGCAGAGCTCTGATACCATATTAGAAAAGGAGCAGGGAAGAAGACGGAAAATGATATTCTTATTGAGAATAGAAAGTTACAGAGTCTTTATAGAAGTTGTAGTCATAACTAACTATAACTAACATAACAGGAGCCTAACAGATTCTAATTACAAAGTAATACACGAGTAGCATTCATATACTATTCCTAACACCACGGAACACTTACTTCTTTCTAGTGATGTTGCTTTACGAGTTTGGGATCACTCTAAAAGGAACCATGTATAAAGAACAGAAAGCCCTTTCTTTCCAGTTTCATTTTTATCTGAACTCGTGGATTCAGAGCTCAAGTCCAATGCCTCGTATGTGTTTGCTTCTTTCTGTGGAATCCCAGAAATCATGTACAGGAGAAGGGTAAAGCTTTACCAAAACAGGGGCTTTATCCAGCGGCCGAGCCATATTGGGGTACATAAGTCATCTCTTTGTAGTACCAGATGACGACACACATACCAGATCAGCCTTGAAGACTTGGTAACGAATCAAAGTTAAATATACAAGTTATCAACACGTGAAGAAAAACAAGCCAGAAATCATTCTTAGACCTCTCAAAGTACCAAATCAGAAAAGCTTTGATCTAAGTAATGTGATACTTATTTGCCAAAAAAAAAAACTTATGTTTCAAATTTTGAGGTAAAATTGTATCATGTACATGAGCACATAAATAGACATGGAAACAATGAGATAGAGGTCATGCAAAACTTACCGACCGCATGTCCCAGACCAGGCAGTTCCCCATATATGGAGGCTTTGCGTATTCTCTCCTTCGTTACCTCCCAGAGTTCACCAGATAGTGCACCACACAGATTAGGATCACCCTACACGGATTAGGAAGACCGCCATTAGAAACCTGTTTTTTCAACTAATTATCTACTCTAATCCAATGAAATTAATTGATCTTCTGAAAAGACATACATGCAAGTCTTCACCTTTGTGCCTTTGTTTTCTTGGCAGCTTGCTCTATACAAGATGGGGAGGCTCCACACTTTCCTCATTTCGAACGGACCTGCGTCAAATGTTGAAGGCCAGGACTTATGTTCCAATTTATTAATTGCCACATCTGCTCAATCATGTCTATTTTTTTGCAAGTGGAAGGATCTAGCCGCATGGGCTTCCCGAATGTCTGGCTGTTTACTGGACCCGTATATGGATTGGTGGGCCTCCTGGGGTATTTGGGCTTGGCCTAATATCCCAACAATCACATACATGACACATTATAATATAAATATATAACAAACATATACATCACATATATGATATAACAGTATATCGATTATCTGATATACATGAAATATAATACATAAATACAGAATATCCACTAATGGTAATGACACCCACACACACATATATGGGAGTAATCGCAAAAGCACGAATATATCTAAGGAGGAATTATCTGCGTCTTTCCTCTGAGGGAACACAACCCTTCGTCTATGTCAGTGGTGTTTCTAATCGCGGCCTGGTAGCGAGGTGGTTGAAGGTGGTTGCCGACCGCTGGGTGGTGGTTGAGTGGATGCTGGGTGGCCGTCGGTCGCTTGGTGGTCGGATGGGCGTGGGTGGTGGTCTTCAGGTGATGAGTGGTGGTCGAATGGTCGCTGTGGTGGTCGTCGGGTGCTGAGTGGTGCTCGGATGGGCACTGGGGTGGTAATCGGATGGGTACTGGTCACAGGTCTAATATTTAATTTGAGCCAAATTATAACGCTAAAAGCGCAGGCCTGGCGGTGGCACACAAATGGCAACACCAGATTTATACTCAACAGTCAACACCATAGCCGAGATTTGTGGCGATGACCCCCTCAAACACCAATGGCGAGAAATGGCAATTGTCATTCGCGCCATCAACTACTATGACTACAGTACACAAGGATCTAATAGAAGCCAAATGGAAAACTGAGTAAATAATCTCTTCAACATGATGAGGGTTAGGAAGTATATGAGCATTAACCAAGCAAACGTTGGAAATGTAGTGCTAGATAAAACTGTTCTTTTTGGTACACTAAAGTGGAAATGGGGATTTAAACATTAGAAGCCTTCAATCCAATTATCAGGACACTAATCCATGTAACCTTACGTGTTTGATGAGTAACTCATGGAAAATAAAATTATTTCTTTGTCAAAAACATAAAAAACTACTAGAGCATAGAACATCATTAGAGAATGATTTGACATCGATATAGTGATAGCAAGAGTGTATAGACATCGAAGATATATTCTTCCATAGAGAATTCAATGACACGGTGACAGGCAATCATAAAATAGCACAGGGAAATCACAATAGATCATTTCGTTCTATGAAGTAAAGGAGAAACATAAATGTAAAAGAGATACCATGTCATAAGAGCATGAACTTGATGTTGTTATAACCTTAGCATACTCTTCTACAAATTTAAGGGCTTTCTCCAAAAATAGCACGGATCCATCAATATCTTCCAAAGCAAGTAAAACTGGCTCACCAATAACTAATAATATTGCTGGTTGACTATCCTTAAGCTAAACTAGGGTGTGAAGATAAAAAAATGCAGTGTGACATCAACTCCTACAGAAAAACAAATAGAAAACAAAAATGAGTATTTGTCAAAACATCAGTACATGCAGAAAAGAAGCTCATTGTATACAATTTATGCCTTGTAAGGAGCTAAAGTATAAAGAACCCGAAAAGATCTTGTTAACCACTGAAGTCCTTCAAATGAACTTCTTTTACTGAAATCAATATATAAAATAATATTGCCAAATTTCCAATCACAATGTACATAAATCACTAAAAGCCAAATTCTTTCAGAATTACTCTCACATACAAGTCAAAGAAAAAACGAATGCATACACCTTTTTCTTGCAAGAAACAAACAAAGCAGGCATTCTCTTTCTTTGAGATTTTTTTGCTCTCATAATTAGAGCAAGCGGAGATCACGAGGCCAAAAAAACCACTACAATTTAGTGACTGTAAGAAGAAACAAAGTAGCTAAACCGACCAGCTTATCCGGTTATAGCCACATCGGTATAAAAACTTATGATGGTTTGAAGCATCAAGTACATTCCCCTGAAAAATCCATTTTGCAGCATTTAGGCATTCCATTTTGTGGCCCACCAAGTGAACAAGTGAAGGTTAGCTGAAAGGATAAGCTGGAAAAGCAAAAAGGATACTTGATTTAAATTTGGCCGGTGAACATAATATGGGAACCGGTTGCAAAGCAAGTGTACTAAGTAAGGGAGAACAGGCTACATAGGTTCATGCACGTTTGTCGTGGAGAAGTGGGTTCACCGGTATCACCGGTGGACAGCAAGAATTGGTGACAATTGAACAGCTCAGCAAACTGGAAGAGGTTTGTAGGGTTGAATTTTCAAATAAAATTCTACTTAGAGAAGGACTTACCCTAAGGTTTAGGAGGAAGATGAATTTAGCAAGTTGGAGAAACAGGTTTCTGGCTCTGAAAAGGTAGTAAGATTCACTCTTTATACCTATGTTCATTTCAAATTTATATGTATCGCTTTCTATCGACAGCTACTCATGTTTTGAAATTCTAGGTTGGCTCTTCACAACAATCGGTGCCTAGCTTGCTATTGACGAAGGAGAAAAGGGAGATTTTGGATGTTGATGCTGAGAAATGAACTAAAAGAACACTTCACTCTGAGAAATAATAAGGGCAGGAGAAATAAATCATGATATAGATATAAATTTAAGTTCAGTTTAGTTGACAATGACCAAATAGGTCTTGGCACACGGGCTTTTTGACGCATCACTCACTCACGTCATCACTTATTTAATGTTTTAAGACACATTTTGCAGCGTGAAGCTCTCTGACATAAGTAATACTTTAGAAATTCAAATAAATCCAAAGCGTTTTATACGTGAGTTGCTCAATAGCACTATAAATTACCTTTATAGAGCTGAGATCAGTTAACAACTGAACACTATAAATTCATGCAAAAAAGCATATATTTACTATGAGATGATTATCCGTACATAACAAAATTTGACCGTGAGAATTTATATTAGAAAACTGTCATATATAATAATGAACAAAAATAACAAATAAATAGGTGATACATTTTTAATCAAATCCATTCAAATCTCACTTACAGCAGGAAGAGATACTGAAGTTGGTCGAGTTCTTAAGGTACTATACCAGAAAGTTTTCTTACAAATCCAAACTCCATAATAAAAACATGATCATTCAATAAGATGTATTGAGTGAAAAGTTTTCTTACATTTCCACGATGTTTCTCAAATTTCCAAATTCACCCGGTATTTGTCTGGTGATATCATTCTTACTCAAGTTCCTGCAGCAGTAACAAATTTTCAGTGTCAAAGAAAACAATACTTACAGGAGAAGTAATAGAGCTAGTCTGCCCAACATATGAATGAACTCACAATACTTACAGGGGAAGGTACTATATTCTTTTTCTTTCTTTTATTTTCCCCCTTCCTTTTCCTTCGACTACTTTTCTTCTGCTTCCACTTTCATTTCTTTCCCCATTCTTATTCTTTCCTTTAATTTCCCCCTTCCTTTCCCATCGATAGAACCCAACTGCTCGGCAATGTATTCGCATTTTACCCAACAGTGGTCCTCATCGGATACAAAACCTCCGGTCATCTTCACAGGCAACCATTCCACCCCTCCCATCTGCAAAAACTCTGGTCATCATCTCAGGCCAACAGAACCACTATCCATCGCAAGAGTCTCCTTAAACGCCCCATCCATTTTTCACCTCCAGTTAGAACATCTCTGTATCATCACCGGACCCTCACCCCAGTCCTTGTCACTGTACGTGCCACCCCTCCTCACTCAGTGACCCGGGCCGGCTGGTTAACAGTGTTGGCCGGAGCATTCATGAGCTCATTCCTTTGGTTCAAACATGTACGGACGCCCTCGGAATCTCGACAACAATTTGAAGCTGTCGTGCGCCATAGTTGAATTTCCAGAGCGACAGCTCAAAACGTTGTCTTCACCGGCCAAACGTTCACCTTTCATCCCCAGAGCAACCTCCGGCGACTCAGAATTTTTTACAATGGTCAGAAACCTGTTCAGCCCCAAAGTTCAAACTCTTTATACACCATCGGAAGCCACCAGCAAAATCCGGCAGTAACTCAGCAATGGAAGTGAGCCATTACATCCCACCTCAACCATCATAAGTCTCCGGCGTTCCATTTGAAACCACCCTGAAAACGCGAGTCAGTTGTCTCCTGCCAAAACTGTTGGAATAAATCCGATTTATTCCATAAATATCTTCATATAATCTTGAGAAGGGTTTAAATACGCGAGCCGGTTGTCTCCGAGCCACTTCCGATTTATTCCCAATAAATCCAAAAATAAATCTTCTTATTGAAATTATGTAGAGAAATAGCTTGAGCGGAAGCGTACCTGACTCCATTGGAGATGACCTTTAGAGATCCGGGAGACGGAGATTAGGATTTGCGTCTTCTAGTTGATACACACCCTCGGGAATTATCTCTCTAGCGATGGGATGCAGAAAGACTGAATGCATGTTCAACTAGGGACCATAACCCCTTATTTATAGAGAGTGTTTAACCTTAATCAGTCCATCATTGATTAGGTCAAGCCCATGGGTCTCTACACATTTGGGCCCTATACCTTATTAGATAACTTATTAGCCCACTTAAATTAATATCCATAGGACCACTAATTTTTGGACCTAAATATAAGATAGCATATAACATACAATTAAACCCGATAAATAATATATTGTGAATATTACATGTAGTATAAGTCCAATAATCTAACAATCTCCCACTTGGACGACATACACATGAATACACACAATCTTAGCATTGTATGTTTACTTTAGGAGCTCCAAAATTTTGCTATCAAACTGTAGTCATCCTTAATCAATCCGGTCCATTAATTATATCCACATAGGACCAAAGAAGTCTTTGTTATATTTGAATAACTAGACCCATCAATGATCACGTATATTAATATAATAAATGACATGGATCAAGTATAGGTGTGTAGCGTGGAAATAACATAAAGTGTGGTCTGGAATAGAATGTATATTTCCAACTGGTCCATCTTGAGATCAATAATATAACTGTAAGAGTACAATAAAACTTTAAAGTTTATTTCTGCAGAAAATAACATTAAACTTGAGTTAACCAAATATAGAAACATTACAAACTCCCACTAAAACTCATAATCCTCAACTGATTTGACACCCATTTGAGCAACATGCTCATGAAACACTTTGGGTGATAATCCTTTAGTGAGCGGATCCGCAATCATGGAGTTCGTGCTAATGTGCTCTATAGATAACTTTCCTTCTTGTACTCGTTCCTTAACAGCCTTAAATTTGACCCCAATGTGTTTTGCCTTGGTCAAACTACTGTTGTTCTTAGCATAAAGGACTGCTGACCTATTGTCACACCATAGCTTTAACGGTCTTTCAATGCTGTCCACTATGCGTAGTCCACTAACAAAATCTCACAACCATAATGCCTGATTGGATGCCTCATAACATGCTATAAACTCTACTTTCATGGCGGAAGTAGCTGTAAGAGTCTGCTTGATACTCCTCCAGGAGATAGCTCCTCCAGCTAGAATATAGATGTAGCCTGAAGTGGATCTCAAGCTATCTTGACATCCAGCAAAATCAGAGTCGGTATACCCAATGACCTCAAGCTGATCCGATCTCCGATATGTGAGCATATATTCCTTTGTTCTCTGTAAATACCGCATGACCCTTTTGGCTGCTTTCCAATGGTCCATTCCCGGATTGCTCAAATATCTGCCTAACATCCCAACAATGTATGTCAAATCAGGTCTTGTACAAACCTGGGCATACATCAAACTTCCTACAGCCGAAGCATAAGGAATGTTCCTCATTTCTTTAGATTCAAAACCATTCTTAGGGCACTGCATGAGACTAAACTTGTCTCCCTTAGAAACTGGGGTATCTCCTGGTTTGCAGTCTTGCATACCAAACCTTTTGAGAATCTTATCGATATAGCTCTTTTGTGAGAGTCCAAGAACGCCTTTGGAGCGATCTCAGTGAATTTGAATTCCTAATACAAAAGAAGCCTCACCAAGATCTTTCATTTCAAAATTCTTTGAAAGAAATCTCTTAGTTTCGTGCAATAAGCATATATCGTTACTAGCAAGCAGTATGTCATCAACATACAAGACCAGGAAAATATGCTTACTCCCACTGAACTTGTGGTATATACAATCATCACTGACATTTGGTTGAAAACCAAAAGATATAATGACTTTATGAAACTTGTGATACCACTGACGAGAAGCCTGTTTGAGTCCATAGATGGATTTCTTTAATTTGCAAATCATTTTCTTTGAATCTCCCGAAACAAAGTTTTCTGGTTGCTCCATATAGATTGATTCCTCAATGTCACCATTGAGAAATGCAGTTTTTACATCCATCTGATGAAGCTCAAGATCAAAATGTACCACTAATGCCATTATTGTTCTAAAAGAGTCTTTCGAGGATACCGGAGAGAAAGTCTCTTTATAGTCAATTCCTTTCTTTTGAGTGTATCCTTTAGCAACAAGACGAGCTTTAAACCTTGTAACATTGCCCTTTGAATCCCTCTTGATTTTAAATATCCATTTACAACCAATGGGTTTAATACCTTCAGGCAATGAGACTAACTCCCAAACGTCATTGTCACTCATAGACTTCATCTCATCTTTCATGGCATTAATCCATTCTTGAGAGTTGGAACTTTCCATGGCTTGACGGAAGTTGATTGGATCATCTTCCGCAAAACCAACATCCGATTCTTGTTCTTGGAGGAAGACAATTATTTCTTCCACCAATTCCCAATTTTCCTCATGTTCTTGGAGAAATACAATATAATTGATAGTCCCTGTTTTTGTAACAGCAATGAATATCAGTCTAACAAAGAAGATTAAACGTAAAGATGAACACAAATGAATCGATGTAAAACCCTCTTGATAGACCGTGAACTCGTACACAGAAAGATATGCGCGTAAGGCTATAATGAACAAGTACGAAAGTTAACCTAATCCTGAACCCTCGGCTCCCTTTTTATAGGCGAGGTTCAGGTTAGGCGTGAAAGACTTTTAGCCTGTTTATATGGGCCTAACACTTGGCCCACATTCTATCTAATACATGCACTTATTTAATACAATGAATAATAATAAAGCTAATCTATGACAAACTTGATTCACAATTAAAATATCTTCAACAATCTCCCCCTTTGTGATCAAGTGCCACTTTGTTATTGCTTCTGTGACTTGAAATAGTGTTTCCTCATATTCAGTGCATGCTCGTATTGCCTGAGCATATTTCTCTTTTCTAGGCGATCGTCGATGGCCTTTAAAATTGTCTCCACTGTAGAGTGTTCCTTTTGAACGTATGACGATGCCTCCTGAAGATTTTCCTCTAGCTGTGCCTTCATCTTTAGAAGCTGTTCTTTGATTATCTTCAGCGTTCCATCACAATATTTCTCAATTTCATTAACTACCATCAGGCGTTTTTCGTTCTTATGGTTGAGATATGTGACTGCTGGCGGTGTAAAGAAGATGTGGTAAGCTGGGAAGTCTTCGAGTTCTGGACCATACAGTCTTGGCTTGGTAAGGTTTGTTTTTGTCAAGTTACACTCAATAGCCATCTGTAGGTCGTGTGAAGAGTGCACTCTGATTTGTCTGAGCATGAATCTCTTGATTGCTGCAAGACCTTCACTGTATGTTTTGCTTTGCCTGACTGGAAGGTATCGATAAGCCATGAACATTTGATAGATGTCGTCTGGTTTAAGCATGATGAAGTCATTTTCTTAACAAGTAAATTCACTCCCGTGAGTGCGTTGAAGCCTGTAAGAATAGAATGTCACTCCGTGATAATCCTCGGCCTTCGCTTGAAGAATTTGATGAATAGGGAGAATATTGGACTTCAAGTCTTGTTCCATCAGCTCTCTTTGAGTACCAGTTGACCTTTGCAACAACATATGTAGATGACCTCCAGCCTGCTTTCCTTTTAGATGGGTAAGGCCTCGTAGCTTCAGTTCATTCAACGGTTTGACTTTGTCTAGTCTACGCCAAATACGCTCTCTGATTTCCTCTTGGAAGGGGGCTTTGATTCGAACGTTGTCCCAAGGTTTCTCTGTCTTGGGAAGTCTTCCCGCTGATTGTCTGACGACAGATTCAAGAGTTTTCTGAGATTCCTTGTAGTTCTCCCCTTCCTTTCGTTCATCGTCCTCGAGCCTGATGATATCTTCAGCACATTTGTTGATTAGCTCTCGTAGAAACCAGTTCCTCTGCATATCTTCGCACTCTTCATCCTGCATTATTTGATCCATCTCCGTCCACTGTCTGGGCCATTTGTCGTGAATAATAATATCTTCAAGCTGATCATGCATTTCATCTGACGACAGAATGGTAGTGGCAGGTTGACCTTTTGGAGACGGAGGCCTTCTAATCGAAACACCGGGTTCACTAGGATTTCCCGTTGTCACCAGCTTTGAACTAGGTTCTAACTGATGGCCTGATGTAAAAGATGTACCAGTGGTAGCATCATCAGGACTTCCATCCCCTCCTCGGTTGGTATCTCTGGGACAAACGCACTGTCATCGAGAGTGTAAATGTTACATTCTATGAAATGGCAGACTTCGCGATCGAACATCTACATATTGATCCATCACATGCTGTACCAGTAGCTTCTCATAAAGCTGAACCAAACACCGAACACGAAGATGTGATTCTCGATTCTCTCTTCAGAAACTTCTACGAGAACTCACAACCTCCACCTCCACCATGCACTCCAGCTTCAACATCAAATCCAACAGCAGAGATTCCGCTCCTCACAGGTCCAGACGATGTACCATCCACACCCTCAACCCCTCAATCCAATCTCAGAGGTGTGGATGATCACGGCTTTGCTACAAGTCCGGAATCATCTCCATTGCACACCACAGCTGCTCCAGAGCTCTCAACCTCCTATCAGGACTCGGAGCAACCAATCATTACTCCAACTCCTCTAGCTCATGAGAGGAAATGGATGAGAGCACATCCCGTTGATCAGATAATAGGTGATCCGAGTCAAGGTGTGCGCACAAGATCCGCAACGATGAATGAATGCCACTTCGCGTGCTTCCTAAGCCAGTCAGAACCATCAAAGGTCTCTGATGCACTACTTGATCCAGATTGGGTAATTGCGATGCAAGATGAACTCAATCAGTTTGACAGACTGGATGTATGGTCACTGGTACCCAAGCCTCAGAGAAAG